TATTTTGATTAATAAATAGAGACAATAAATGACTGAAACCCAGGAATAGATTTGATTTGGAATTGAAACACAGTCAGGAAAGTATATACAATAATGATAATTGAAATGACTGCAGTCTGCTCATGGCAACTAAGACTGACTGCATTTAAAATCCGCAGCAAACCCCACCAAATTTTAAAAAGTAACAATAATTGTAAATAACACAAAATGTAAATAAGTAATAGTGACCTACTTGGTATTTTGCCGTCCTCAAAAGCTGGTTTGGCGACAGGTTCAAATCCTCCAGCCAACAGGCGACCGTTGTTCTCCCGAAAATAGACGTGCCCATCCTGATCCCGCACCACTACAAAAACACAAATCATTATTGAATCGCTCGAGGTTGAAATTTTGATCCGGACCTGGAGTCATGGGGTCTAGTCCAGGCACCGGTTTGGTGTGTAAGTAATAATGTTCCACCGCATGTAAGGGCACTTTGACATAGGGCTCCGACAGCTGGCCGATCCCTCTCGCCCAAAAGCCGGCGCAATTGACGAAAAACTCGCAGTTAACCGGGCCCAATGTTGTGTCGACGGCGGCCACTTTTCCGCTTTCCTGTACCACTTTCTTCAGCGAACAGTTTTCAATCACCTTCACTCCTGCAAATGTTTGTTTCCAAGCCTGTTTCACCCAAACCACCATAAACCTACCCATTTTCATAGCCTCATCCATCAGTGAAATGCACGTTTCGTATGGGTCGCCAACTCCATCCCCCGGTATCCACAGACCTCCATACAGATCGTCCACATTCAACAAGGGGCATTTGGCCTGGCACTGGTCGGGAGTGAGGATTTCGCAGTCAATTTTCCACGCTCTGACAAGAAAAAAACGCTTTGAAATCACTCTTGCTGGCATGGGATGCAACCACTCACATGGACTGCGCCTTCATTTTCCTGAAGTTAACCAACCGATCGCGAGTCCTGGCCAAATTCAAGCTGCCACATTGCTTCCATCCCGTGGCCAGTCCTGCAGCCTTGAGCTGCTCGTATAAAGCCACACTGGACTTCGTCAGGCTCACTTGAGACAGGGTGGGTTTGAACACTCCAATTAGACCAGAAGAATTCCAAGTGGTCCCACCTCCAACCCTATACAACAAAGAGCATTGCCAAAGGTTGCAGTCTTTTGTAATGGTCGGATTTACCGGTTTTGCTCAATCAGAACCGTGTCGGAGCCCCAACCGAGTTTTCCCAGGTGGTAGGCCACGGAGGCCCCCATAATGCCACCCCCACATATCACCACTCTGGCGTGGTTGGGGGGCGGAGTGACTGGATCCCCGGGGGAGATTCGTTGCTCTGAGAGAGCCGACAGAGCCCTAAAAATTCATGAAACCAAGTGGAAATACAGGGAAAATTTTTGGTACCTCTGAAAGCTTTTCCTTATAGGTTTAGACGTCTGGGCTTTGTATTTGTATCTGGAAAGCATGCTGGTGACTATCGGAAGCAATTCTACTTAGTTTAAAGCATTATTTAACTGGAAATTTTGACATTTTGGTTAAAAGAATTGTTTTGAATTTTCAAATTGAGGTTACTTTGCATTGGTCCCCCAAAGTAGAGATGTTCAATGTCACTAGAGCTGGTTGAGCAAAAGTTCTCTTAATTGGGTGTTTGTTCGGTTGCCGGCCCGATGGTCAAAGTTTTTCAAAAAAATTATGCTTTTTGAAATATCCAGACAAAAATTTGAAGGATTTTAATGAAACTCACTGTTAATTTGTTTTCATTCAATTTTGATGAAGTCGATTGGAGTTCATCCGCTTTGGACGAGTGCAGAATTGAGTGTCTTGGAACAAAAACTACCAGAACTTTTTATTTAGGGGCTGAAATCAACTGTTTTTTTTTCTTGAGTTGAAGCACTAATCCTTTTTTGGTATTTTTTTGCTCTTTACAGCATCTTATTTTTGCACTCTTTACAAAAACTTTGATAAATCAATAGCGGAGGTGCCATACTTTTCCTCTTAATAAGTTGGGAGAGCTCGTCTTCTGAGCCAAAAAAATGTTGACCTTTTTATGATATGCTTACGACCCAGTATAAAACTCACTTTTTCCTAGTAATACTACACAGCAATTTATACAGTAAACATTAATGAACTTTGCAATCTGTTTGCGTAAATATACCTATAATACAAAGAACATTGCTTTAAAAGCACGGCAACTTTCGGATTTTTGTTTTCCAGTTAACTTTTTTTAATACATTTGATCAATCATGCATTAATTTAGCTGATATAGGGCAAGTTTTCAAAATAAGCCATTATAAAAAGTTGTTTGTTTGCCTAATAATAGGCATATAATAATTTCTAAAGCGCACTAATGCCACTTCCATTGATTGCCTGTGCTTGATTATACACATTATAGTCTGATGAAAGGATAAGAGATGCAAAAACCGATAATCGAATGGTTGGCTTCCTGATGGCAATACCGATAGTTCAAACAATATTCCACGGAACACGAAGTTTTTTGTAACTTGGCTCAGTTCAGAAAACGCTCTATCTGTATCCAGGCAAAACGTGCTCGAGCCCTCTAGGTATTCGGCTGTAAATATAATGATAATTCCGCAAATTAAAGTTAACTATAAGGTACTATTTATTTGTGGTTTGGCTGGCATCCTGCTGATGGTAATAGGAATTTATGCAGGGTTTTACTTGGCGCCCAGTATTGTGAATAACAAGATATTAGAAGTAAGTTTGTTGCGTTTTTATACACATTTCAACAGTATTTTGTTAAACAACTGGCGAGTAACTTTGTTTCTCAGACAAAAGTACTTCGAGAAGGTACCGAGCAATGGAGCAATTTCATGAAGGTTCCATTTCCATTCCAATTCAAAGTGTACCTTTTCACCGTACAAAACGTGGAAGCGGTTCAAGCTGGGGCCAAGCCCTTGGTACAAGAGCAAGGCCCTTATGTGTACCAGTGAGTGATTTGAATTTTTGAAAATTTGAAAATTTTCTTGCATGCAACTGCTCAGGTTAACCAGATGGAAAGATCAAGTGGCGTGGAACCATTCCACCGACGAAATTTCTTACCACGAATACGAGGAATATAAGTTTGATGCAGAGTCATCAGGGGGGCTGAGCGAACAGGATGTAGTCACCGTTCTGAATCCTGCATTTTTGGTAACGCCACCTTCAAACACATATTTGTTGTTACAAAAAGATTGTAACTTGAATTCACTCCAGAGCTTTTTATACACCGCGGAAATGGATCCAGCCACCAGGGACTTTCTGCCACTAATAGACGAGTCTCTGGACGCGATCTTCGGCAGCTACAACAGTCCTTTTTTCACCAATATCACTGTCCGGGAGTTTCTGTTTGAGGGACTGCGAATATGCAGAAATGGGTGCTCTGATGATGGTTTCGTGGCTAAAATGGCCTGCAACAAAATTAAGGAGCGAATGGCCGATACCAAGCAAATGAGAGCCGATGGGGATGATATTTTATATGCATCGTTTCACTATGTAAGTGCCGCAAAAGTTCTGCAGAAATATGTCCAGTAAAGAGCTCTAAATAATGGCTTTAGGCCATTATTTAGAGACTTAATGACTCAGAAAGTGAAAAAATTGCATTAAAATTAACTGAAATAATTCAGTTTTCCAGCCAAATGAATTATCTGGGTGTTATAATTGACCCATAGAGCTGAAATAGCTCAGAAAATAGGACTCTTCTGCCGCATATCTCCTTATATGCTGCTGTAATGCGCTGAACACATGCTGAACATTTGATACACATTATTTCCCCACTTTTTAGCTACGCTTCTTCTATGCAGGCATCAAAATAGCCATTCTTTGCTACACAAGGGCGGATCCAG